GGGGAAAGAGCGGGCAAGATGGGGCCTCTCCTAGGCCAGCCTGAGAAGCAGCCAGGCGGCCCCCACCCACCTCTGGGCCAGGGTGGCAGTGAGGAGACAGTCCCAGGAGGGCTCGAGGTGACTGCCCCCCTACCCACAGCCCATACCCACCGTTTGAACTCCTCCAGGGGGCTGGCGGCGTGGGAGTGGGCAGAGGGCGAGGCCTGCTCAGGCCGCAGGCTGTTGGCGAAGGCGTGCAGGTGCTTCAGCAGCAGCCGCACCACCAGCACATGCTCCTCGGTGGGCATGAAGGACTCCTGGGGGGAGGGCCCTCGTCAGTACCTCGTGCTGGGCTGTGCCCACCTCTCCCCCCATGGATGCACCGCACATGGCGCCCTGGGACAGCCACCGGGGCAGAAGCTGTGCCATGTGCTTCCCTGCACTTCAACCCCCTTCATGGAGCCTCTGAGACAAACGCCCTCAGTCCTGCGAGCTCAGCTTTGGGTTCACAAAGGCCAGGAGGGTCTCTGAGACCCCCCACACACACGGGAAGCCTGGGGGCCGGCCGCCTGCTCCCCACGCCCACCCCCCCAGCCCTCGACAGACTTGTTGGAAGTGCTCTTGGCAGCTTCACCCCAAGGTGAGCAATGCCAAATGGGGTGAAGGCGGCTCCCGGCCCTATGTGCAGGAAGCTGGGTACTGACTGGCAGCCCCCCCCCGCCCCCCGCTGCCCAGGGCACGGTCTGCACAGGCCTCCCTGGCACGGAAATGCCTCCACAGGCCCATGCAACACACCCCAAGGCCGCTATGCCTGGGGTGGGAGGCGGGGGGTAATGTCCTTCTGCATGTGTCTATTTTTAGGTCGTTATATGGTGGATTTGCAGCGTTTTGGCAAAAAAAAATAAGGGATACTTTAACAGTAATAAAAAACCACAGAGCATCCTCTGTGCCAGGCCGTGACTCTGCCTAGGGAGCTATCCCCTTTATCGTTCCCAGGAACTGAAACCACCGCATCTCATCCCCGCCCTCCACGTTTCCAGGGGCAACTCCCTGCCCCACGCCCAGCAACCACACTGGACACCACTGGGCTACTTTCTCTCTACATTTGTCAAAGTGCTTTCTTCCAGTGCCTCCCTTCCCTGAGCCAAATGCCCGCAGGAGCCCCTGGTCACAGCTACATGTGGACACTTACGGGGCCAGGCCTCCCGCCGTGGAGGTGAAGGCAGGGGCCCTGCTCTTTGCCAGGTGAGGCCCTCCCCAGCCCAGGCCTGAGTGGCACCCACTTCTGCACGTGGCCCACCCTCGGCACCCCTTCTGGAACATTCTCTCCCTCAGTGCAGCTGCCGCATCTGCTCAAATTCAAGTTCAGTGGTGTGTGGCCCCACCTAGGGTGAGGGGGGACAGAGCCCCAGCCATGAGCACAGCTCCAGACACACGTCTCTGCCCAGACTTCCCAGCGGTCGTGTCGTGGAGCAGCAAACTTCACGACCCCGTTGGCCCCAAACACCCAGCTCGCTGACCACAGTCCATCCCTGGTCACTCCTGCCTAAGCAGACAACAGTCCCCACAAGGTCACCGCCCATGAGCCCCAGGACCTCCACATCCTTGGTCAGTCCCCAGCACCAGGCCTGTGCTGCAAAGGCCACACTACTTTGCCCCCACGAACCGGGGCTAAGCACGGAGCCCTAAGACACCCGAGGACTTGACACCTTGGTTGGTCTGGGGCTTGGCCAGGTGGGTTCGGTGACCTCCCCCATAGCCAGTGGGGTCCTGTGCATCACTCCCAGCCATGTGGCCGTACACCCCGAACCCAGGTCCAGGCCGAAGGGCCTGGCTGTGCTTGGCTGGTCTCTGGTCACCCCAGCCGGCCCCCAGCCAGACCCTGGCTACTGCGCAGGACATGAGCTCTGGGGTTAAACCATGGGGCGGGGGTGAAAGGGAACAAAACGAAAGCGGCCAGTACTTGGTGGGCGTGGAGGGCCTGGAGGCTGGGTTGGGCAGGGCTGTGGAGGGCGCTGCAGACACTGAGTCGGTAGTGCAGGACCTCCAGCTGAGAGACAACAGCAGAGAAGCCGAGAGAAGAGGCGGGGGGAGGAGAAGGGGAGAGAAAGAAATGGTGAGAAAGAGCCCAGAAGTAAGGACAAGAAAAACAAAAAACAAAAGCACAAGTCAGTGACAATCCAAACAATCACAGCCCAGCAGCATCAGGCCAATGAGACGCCAACCACCCCCTCCAGGCGTGATCCTCCAGCTGCCAGGCAGAGGGAGGACAGACCCACAAGGTCACCTGGGAGGCCCCTCCAGCCCCTGAGGTCAGCCCGACCCCATTGCACTGGGTGCAGCATGTGTCAGCAGCCCAGCCACCTCCCTGGGACATGCTGCTGGTCACCAAGGCCCGAAGACCCAGGCTCAGTAAAGAAATTTGAGAAGCCAGTTCTAGATGGAGGCCTCTGCCCAGAAGAGAAAAATATGTAATTTATTGGACTTCCTGGGTTGTCCGGAAAAGAAATTTATCAGCACAGGATGGAATCAATTCCTAGGTGTTAAAAGACCCAATCAGAGTCCCATCCTGAAAGGTTTTGTGCACGGGAACCAGCCCACCACCCCCACATCCTGGAAATGGTTAACGTGGTGCTAACACTTACTGGTTCTAATTCTGGGAAGACCAACCTCTACCTCCCTCTACCTCACCAGGAGCCCCCAGACACTGAGCCACACACACCCAGAGGCAGCTGGAACCCTGGGGCCAGGGGTAACAGCTGAGCTGGCATACCGTCCGCCCCCAACCCCAGAACCTCCACTCTATCTCCCTGCAGCTAAGTGCAGCCAGAGCCGGCCCAGCACACATCCTGCCCCATGAGCGCCCGCCTCCTGCCCCAGCGCCATGCTTCACACAGAAGAGGCCTGAAGGAACGTGCCAGACGCTGGGGAGACGGGCACAGCCAGAGACACGCAGAGCTGGGGCGGGAAGGGGCACGGCCGCACTCAGCAAGGAAATGGGGAGCCCACGGTTCCCCTTCAGGCCCTAGCCCGGGCCCACAGCAGCCTGCAGGGAGAGTGCATGCGCCTGCACCCAGCCCAGCCGCAGCCACACCAAGGGAGCTCCAGGAGCTGCACTTCCTGCACCCAGAAAACCCGGCAAACTGACCCCAGGGTTACGTGGGGCCAGCAAGGACTTCCACGTGGTGCGGGGCAGACCTGGACAGACGGCAGGGGCCTTGGATGAAGCAGACCCCGCGGTTTCCCACACACCCCGCCTCCTCAGGTTTTGTTTCTCGGCCTCAACAGGTGGCAAAGGGCAGAAGGTTTCTTGGCGCCTGGTGGGGCCTTCGTGGTGCCCCCCCCCCCGCACTGACCCAAGTCAACCTGAGCAGCCCTCACCCTCCTGTGACCATGGGGAGGAGCGGGAAGACCCCGCCCCATATGGACTCGGTGTTCCCCCAGGTGACGGGCAGCTCGCAAGGGCCCTCTGGCCGGCAGAGCTACGGCTAAGACCTGAAGCGGGTGGGCTGCCCCGGGCTCCCCACACAGACGTGCAGACAGGAACGTAACACCGTGAAGCAGCCTCTGCGAGACCAAGCCCCGCGCACCCCACAGGGGAGCCAGCCCTGCCCGGCGGGCAGCAGCAGGAACGTGCAGCAGCAAGTGCACTCTGGAAGCAGACGGGGGCATGGTGGGCACTTTGCGACGCGAGAGGCCCAGGATGGATTCCCGGCCCCACCCCCGTTCTCCTCCTCCTGTGTGGGGCCAAGGACGGAGGCTGCGACATCCTGCGCTCCAAGAGGAGTGTTGGGGCTGCGTCCCAGTCCTCCGTGCGGCAGAACCCTGGGCTGGGGAGCAGGACCACTGAGGGAAGGGCACAGGCCACTGTTCCAATGTGACCCACAGATTCTTAATTCCTAAGGAAGCCCTTAAGGACTCTGACTGGCAGCGGCAAAAGCAAAGTCTAAGGAGCCAACTGCTGCACAGAAGCGGCACACTGCAGTCCTGCGCGCAGGCTGTGGACCTGATCACCTGTCCCTAACTCAACAGAACTGTTCTACCCCGACCAGCCCTGTGGCCACAACCCTGGGAGGGGACCAGGGACTCTAGGCCTCTGCACACACGTGAGCTGCCCAGCAAGGGAAGGAGGAAAAGGAGAGTAGGAGGAGGAGACAGCCCAGACCACATGCAGGAGGGCGTCAGACCCCACCCACCGCCAGGAGGGCTGCTGCCGCTGCTCTGGAGGACGTAGAGGGCAGCAGGGCCACCAAGGTGGGCAGAGTCTGCTGGGTGCCACTGCAGCGGGACAGCAGGAGGCGCTGTGACTCCCAAAGGCACCCACGGCTACCACGCCCCAGAACACGAGCAACACAACCACATCTGTTCCTGCTGCCACGGAGAGGGCTCTGCAAGTAGCATGGGGAGGCCCAGAGAGGACGGGCCTCAGCCGCCAGGGTGCAAGCCCAGCACAGAGGACAACCTGCCTGCTGCTCAGCACATGAGGGAGGTGAGATGGCAGGTTGCTGGGTCCCACTAGCCAGTCCTTGAAACTAACTGAAATCAAGGACAAGCAGCAGCAGGCTGACCAGGGCCAGCGCGGGAGGTGGGAAGAGAAACCATGGCAGCAACATACCTTGGCGTGAGGGGACTGCATTTTTTGGTACATCTCCAAAGAATAATGATGAAGCCACATTTCAACAAAAACCTGCGAAAGAGCACAGCTGGTCAAAAGGTCTTTGACAAGGCCGTCAAGACCATTCAGTGAGGGAAAGAACAGCCTCTTCGACATGTGCTGTTGAGAAAACAGGGTGCTCACATGCAAATGAGCACAGTCAGACCCTCACTCTACGTCGTAAACAAGAAACAACTCAAAATGCATCAAAGACCTAGAATATAAGAGCTAAAACTGTAGAACCTTAAAAGAAAGCATGGGGGAATGCTTCACAACAATGGATTTGACAGTAATTTCTTAGATGTAAGTCCAAAACCATTGGCAACAAAGGAAAAAACTGGACTTCATGAAAATTGAAAGCTTTTGTGCATCGAAAGACACAACATACGTAGTAAAAAAGTAGCCCACAGAATGGGGGAAAATATTTGCAAATCATGTATCTGAAAAGGGATTAACATCCAGACTATATAGAGAATGCCTAGAAGTCAACACAAAAAAGATCCCAATTCAAAAATGGGCAAAGGACTTGAATAGACGTTTCTCCAAATAAGATACACACGTGGCCAACAAGGACATGAAACGCTGCTCAGCACCACACGTCACCAGGGCAGAGCAGACCAGTCACGACGATTAGGGTGGCCACAATCAGAAACCCAGAAAACAACAAGTGTTCCGAGGGTGTGGGGAAACTGGACCCCTTGTGCACTGCTGGTGGGGATGAAAAATGGTCCAGCCACCATGGAAAACAGCATGGCAGGTCCTCAAAAAACTAAACAGAATTAGCGTACAGCCCAGTAATCCCACTTCAGAACAGATAATCAAGAGGACGGAAAGCAGGGTCTTAAAGAGAGAACTGCACACTCATGTTCACCACAGCCAAGAGGTGGAAGCAGCCCAAGTGTCCATCAGATGGACAGATAAACAAAACATAGTTACACACACACAGCAGAATTTAACTCAGCTTTAAAAAGAAAATTCTGACACATACTACAACGTGGATGAGCCTTGAAGACACTATGCTGAGTGAAGCCAGTGAGTCATTAAAAAGAAAAATACTGTGTGATTCCACTGACAGAGGCAGTGAGAAGAGTCAGATTCACAGAAACAAAGCAGGGTGGTGGGTGTGGGAGCTGGTGGGAGGGGGACTGAGGAGCTGCTGTTTGACAGGTATAGACTTTCAGTCTTACAGGATAGGAAGGTTCTGGAAACCCATTACAACAATGTAAACTATACTTAGCGCTACTCAACTATATGCTTTAAAATGGTTAAGACTTAGATTTTACATTATGTGTATTTTACCTCAGTTCCCGAATAAAATCAGAACCCCATCTCATCCACACTCCAGGCTCTCAACAAGCCATGCTTGTGGTAACCCACTCAGCCCTGGAATCCAGCATCAGAACAGCAGAGTATGTCCAAGGTGGCGCTGAAGAGACAGGCCTGGGGTCTGCTGGAGCCGCATAAGGTCACACACAGGACTGCCGTCCCCACTGGGGCCCCCTGGCATGGAGGGGATGGGGTCCTGCTGAGCAAGGGGAGGCCCCCCCATTCAGTGCCCTAAACACACTGCTGCAGCAGGGCTTACTCTCCACCCCTCCCAAACCACGGTAGCAGTCAGAGAGGGTGACCCAAGCCACTGGAAACTGAAAGGCTGGGCAGCCATCGTGTCACCACAATAAAATAGGACTCTGTGGACAGGGGGTCCTGGGGTGAAAACACTGCCAGTAACACAGAGGTGAGACAGGTGGGCAAATTCTTTCTCATCAGTCACAGCAGAGACACTAACAATTGACAGCCACCCCCAGACCAAGGGGCAGGCTTTAGGCCCTTGCACCCTGGGGTGGGCGGTGCTGAGCAGTTTATCTGAAACAGAAGCAGAGAAGGCACCCAGGCTCTCACCTGGAGCAGCGTCTCCGACCTCCAGATCTCGTGGGAGGTGGGGTCTGCATTCACAGACGTCTGATGAGAGATGTGTCGCTTCAGGAGGCTGGTGTGGTGCAGGCCATAGGACGCAAAAGGCACAGCTGGCGTCCTGAGGGAGACACAGAAGCAGATCTCTGTCGGCAGGCTCCCACGGGTGTGGCCAGGGCAATCTGGGCCTCAAACCCAGGACAGCAGTGACAAGTACAACCTGTGGAAGTGTCCAACGACCCTCAAGTCCACGTTGCTATGTGTGAATAAACAAACAGAAGAGTGACTTTTCCATCCACATCTGCCCATTGATAAATGCAGGACGGGTGAGATCAGAAAAGCGCTGTTTGCCAACCACCCTATTCACAATAGATCTGGCTGAAATGAAGACCATGAGGGATATGCCGACACTGCTGACAAGAGCGAGGGCTCAGTGGATCTTCCTACTAAGTCCCCCATTCACTAATTGAGGCCAAAAGACCTTCGTTAACTTTACAGGAGGAAAACCTGGCATCACCCTCAGCCTAGCAAGCGGGCTCACAGGCACCACGGCCGCCACTGCGGTGCCCCCCGCCAACGATGCCACACCTGGGCCTAATCATGGGAAACACCCGAGAACCCACTGTGCACACACCAGCTGTCAAGGTCAGGAAAGGCTGTGGGACCTTCTGGACAAGAGAGAGACAGCCGCGTGTGGGAAATGACCCTGACGAACCCAGCTGCGTGACAGCCATGAGTGGGGCAGCTGGTGAAACCCAAGTGGGGTCTGGGGATGAGATGGTGGCCTGGCAGCAACACTGCCTCCTGATTTGAACGGAATGGCCGCGGTTACAGAGATGCACACACTTTCAGAAAACACACCCTGAAATATTAAGAGGTAACGGCATCGTGTCTATAACATACTCAAATGGCCCAGGAAAAAACACACACAGATTAGATAGAATAAAACAACTCGGAAATCAACAGGCATGAAGGGCCTGTGAAAGTTCTTTGTTACATGTAGCAATGTGTAAAATCTGAAATTATTTTGTGAAAACAAATCAAATCCAGCCCAGAAAACTGCCTAGCAGCTGAAGTCTGCCTTTGAGGGGGTGTGAATCCAGGCCACACTTGGGTTCTCCCCCGACCCCAGATCCCTGGCCCCCCCTCCCCAGGCCGCAGCATCAGCAACACCTGTGCAGCCCCTCCCCCGCACTCCTCCTCACCATCCCCTTTCCTTGGGAGCATCTGTCCACACGAGTTTGGGGTAACGGTACAGCACATGCCAGCAGATGTGGGGGGACAGCACCTGCAGGAAAGAGCTGCAGCCACCAGGGAAGGAGCGGGGGCTAGTGAGGCAAGGGCTAGAGGAGCACAGGCTCCTCACCCCCGGAAAGGCCGGCCTCACGCTCCCCTCCTGCTCTGCCTGTGCCAGCGGCTCTTTACCACAGGCCCCGGCTCAGCAAAGGCCTGGTCCCCGAGTCCACAGGTCCGTGCTAGTCTCACTTGGCCACAGCTCAGCGCTGCCCACAAGCTCCTCCTCTCCAGGACCAATCGCCCAGTGCTGCCAATCAGCTCTCGGCTTTGAGTCCCTCACCACCCTGCTCACCGCTGGGCATGGGGCTTGGGTGCCACGTGTGGAGAGGGCGGCCACAAGCAGAAAACGGCCCGTTCCCATACCAGAGCCAGGCCCCATCCACAGGGCCACAGAACCTGCCTGCTTCAGAGACGTCCCCCTCACCCCGCCCACCAGCCTGTGCTCAGATGGGGCTGCAGAATCTCAGGCCTAAAAAAAGAGAGTGCTCCAGACAAGGAGTGGCACCCATGAGCAATGCCCTCCAACCAGGAAGGGCCAGGCCTTACCTAGTGGTGGGCTCAGGCCATCTCAGCCACTCACCTGGGAGCCGGTGAGGGGCTGGGCCCCCCCGGGCTGGAGGAGAGAGGGGGGAGCACGCTGCCTTCTGTGGGCAGGAACCACGCCAGGTACCTGTCCACCAGGATGAAGTAGGCGCAGTCTGAAGTGCGGACGTGGAGGGCCCCGGGTGGCGGCTGGAAAGCAAAGCTCCTGTGAGCGCACGGCTGTGGGCACCGCCCCAGGCTGCTGACCCAGCAATCACAGGGCGGTGCCAGGAGAAAAGCCCCCACCACAAAGGGCCTGGCTAGACCCCTCAGTCCTGACGAGCCCACACACACCCCCATCCCCCCACCCTGCCCACACCAGTAGCCACCTCCTACAGGAAGCCTCCCTGACCACCACTCAGGGCACCAGCCCACCCCACATGGCCCATCAAGCCTGCCCCCAGCCTGTCATCCTCACTAAGTGAGGGTGGCCTGAGGGGCAAAGGCTGGAGGGAGGGGGACCCGGGGAAAGGAGGTAGGAAAGGGAGGAGAAATGGAGGAAGGCAGGCCGATGGCTGGCCCAGCCCTTCTTTGTGTGGACACAAGCCCTGGGCCTCAGCCCCTCCCTGCACGGGGGCTTCAGTAAAGCAAACCCGGCTCAGAGGCACCCCTTCTGTACCTTTTGAGTGATGAGGCTCAAAGCAAAGAAGAACATGTAATACTCAAATGGATCTGAGGGCCATGTCAGGGGGCAAACGACAGGGCTGTCGGGGCCCCCCACCCAGCTCTGTGTTGGCCACCCGGCCTCCCACATCGCGGGGCCAACAAAGGATACTGAGGGCCAGGTGCAGGCCAAGGCCCCCAGCTGGGGGGAGCTGGACCTTGTTGTGGTACAGAGGGCTGTCGGGGAGCACACGCTCCTGGATGGAGGCCTTCACAGGGTCCTGTGGACAGACAGAGGTGGCCCTTGGGAAGGCTGCCGAGGAGGCCAACACACAGACCCCCCCTGGGGAACAGTGCTGTCCTCTGCGCGGTGCTTGTGCAAAAAAGCTTCACGCAGACTCTGTCCCTTCGTCCTCACACAGACCCACCACAGCAGGGCTGCAGCTGTGTGCATCTCTAACCCAGCCAGGCACTCGATGGATCCTGTCTGCTTTGTTTCTCATACCCATGAGTGTGACCCCTTAATTTGCCCCCACAGGACTGGAAACTCAGAAAGACAAAGCTACCAGTCATGTGGTCCTGCCACTCAGCCAGGAGCCAACCAGGACCTCCCACTGGCAGAGTTCAGATGACCTTTGAAAAAAAAAAAACATTGAAGTTCCAATCTGTGACGGCTCCTGGGCCCTGAACAGATACCATGACGTTCTGGCCACTGTCACAGCCCTTCAGGCCCCTGCCCACCCGCCAGCACTGCAGCCACTGCGCGGGGCACTGGCCCCAAGCCTGGCTCTCACCACCACAGCTTACTCACAGGCAGGTAAGAGACAGGAAACTCAAATTTATAGTCTTCAGCTTGAAGTTTATAAACCAACTTCATCATTGGGCCCCTGAACACGAACAACAAAAACAGGACAAATGAACCGTGAACCATCTTGCTTTGACTGTTCTTTAACAGTGACTGCAAACAAGATCACTGTGAGAGAAAGTCCAGTCCCTCTGGGGTAACAGACCAACCTACCCGGGGTCTAGGAATTCCATGGCGATACTGTACTCCACAGGGCTCACGCGGCCCTGCAAGCAGCGGAGGTTCCACCCAGCCAGGACGCCGTCCAAGCTGCCAAAAATGCTCTCAACCAGCCACGGGAAGATGGCATGCAGCTCCTGCAACAGCGCAGGGAGATTTTGGGCAAGCTCCTGGGGACCACTGCCTGCCTCCCTTGCTGGCCCTGGGCCAAGGACGTCACTCCCTGGCCCAGAGACCAGCAGGACCAGTGTCGCCCACAGGAGCCGCTGTGGATCCTTTTGTTGTGCTTGCGTGGCTGCTTCATGTCTGACCCCGTTACATAAGCCAGCATATGATTAAAAGGTTTATTTAAAAATTCTGGGGCGGGGGGCAGTTCAAATTTCCGATTCCACAAGGTTCAAAATGCTCTGGGTGATTCTCGCCACTTGCTTCCAGGCCTCCACCCACCCTCACCCCCCACTACCGCAGGGAGTGAGAAGAGTCAGATTCACAGAAACAAAGCAGGGTGGTGGGTGTGGGAGCAGAAGGGTCGGGCAGGAAAAGAGGAGGATAAGACCCCACGGTGGGGATGACCCTGGTGGCGCAGTGGTTAAGAATCCGCCTGCCAATGCAGGGGACACAGGTTCGAGCCCTGGTCCGGGAAGATCCCACATGCCGCGGAGCAACTAAGCCCATGCGCCACAACTACTGAGCCTGCGCTCTAGAGTCTGCGAGACACAACTAGTGAAGCCCACATGCCTAGAGCCTGTGCTCCACAACAAGAGAAGCCACCGCTATGAGAAGCCTGCGCACCAAAAGAAAGAGTAGCCCCTGCTCCATGCAACCAGAGAAAGCCCAGGCGCAAAATGAAAACCCAACGCAGCCAATAAATCAATCAATATATTAAATAAATAAAAAATTAAAATGCCAGAAACTTCTGACCCTAAGAGAGCTTTATTAAAAAGGGTGGAACTGTCCGTTCTTCCTCAGGGCAAGCCCTTCCTGTCATCTGGTGGCAACTCCTGGTCCAGGCGGGCCTCCTGAACTGACCCACACTTACTCTGCCAATTCAGGGTGTGGTGTAAACACATACTTTCAGTACTTACAGCAGGGCTCAACCTTGGCACTGCTGACATTTGGGGGTGGACGCGTCTTTGTCCTGGATGCTGTGCTGTGCCCTGGGGGATGGATGCCAGCACACCTGGCCTCCACTCGGGGCCGGCAGCACCACCCCATGTGGCAACTAAAAATGCCTCCAGACACTGCTAAGTGTCCCATGTGGGACAGAAAGCCCACGACTGAGAAAGCCTGGTCTACGTGGTCGTGGTCACACGTTTACACGTGTCACAAACGTGAGAGTCGCAATACAGGGTCAGGCCTCCGCAGGGCAGCGCTCAGAGATGGGAGGCAGGGGCTGCGAGAATGCTTTTCCAGGAGTGTGTGAGACACGGCCCCAAGAGATGCTGCAGAACTGTACCTTTGCTGGAAAGTCCTCGATGACTTTAACCAAGTCTTGGCACCGCTGTGCAAAGGGTTTATTTATAGAGTCGGCTTTCAGGCTAGCCTAGGAGACACAAGAAACCAAAATAAAGCGAGCACATTTGCTTTGCAGCTTTTGCTGATATTCTGGTGCAAGTCAAAACAGAAATCCAGGGACTTCCCTGGTGGTCCAGCGGTAAAGAATCTGCCGTACAATGCAGGGGACGTGGGTTCGATCCCTGGTCAGGGAACTAAGATCCCACATGCTGCGGGGCAACTAAGCCAGCGCTCCACAACTACTGAGCTTGTGCGCCTCAACTAGAGAGACCACGTGCCCTGGAGCCTGTGCACCACAACTAGAGAAGAGAAAACCTGCAAGCCACAATTAGAGAGAAGCCCGCACACTGCAACAAAAGATCCCGCATGCCTCAACGAAGACCCTGCACGCCGCAACTAAGACCTGACACAGCCAAAAATAAATTAAATAAATAAATGATAAATAAATCTTTAAAAACAAATAAACAAACAGTAATCCAAGAGACGGGCAGGAATCAGACACACCACTGGCCTGACTGCCCAGCACCTCACACATCAGGTTGTGCATGTGTCCAGGGCCTACAGGACACCCCTAGGCGAGGCCAGGGTCCCGTGCTCTCTAGGCCAGGACTTTCCAGGCTGGCTCCCAGCTCCCTCTGTCAGGCACCCCAGCTACCTCAGAGAGCTGCACATCATGAGAACAAAATCTACCCGGATCCAATCCACAAGCAGGGGGCTGGCTCCTGGGTCAGCCCTGCAGCCAGCGGGGGACCCCACACAGATCAGAGCACTCACCGAGTGTGTGCACGTGAATGGGAAGTTTCCCCCGGGGCTAACCACCCACCATTTATAGCCCTGTGATTGTGAGCTACCATTTGTTGTCACTGGCCCTCTGACCCAAGACGTCCTTTATCTGTTACCTTCAGAGATGCAGCAGGCCAAAAACCACAGACAGCTTCAGCCAAATGCCAACACTCTGGTGACGGAGAAGCCAGAAAACATTCAGGACAAGAAGTAAGGAAATGTACCCCAGATCAGGGGCGAGGGAAAGCTCTCGTCTTTTCTGACCACAAAGGGAAGAAGGCCCTGTGCACATGGATGAACATCAGGAGGAAAGGCCAGGTTTCTAACCACAAAGGCTTTGCCCAGGGTATCCAAGGCCCTGGCCACCTCCACACGAGGATGGGGTCCACAGGGTCTCGGTCAGAGGCAGACACCCGGCTGTGCAGGCCTGGGTCGGACCTGCTGGCTCTAGAGGGGCACCGAAGAAGAACATCCTTCCAAATACAGGTTCATAAAAAGTGCAGGCCTAGTGCCCCAGCACAGCAGCCTCCTTCTGTTCTTCACCAATGACAGTTACGGTCATTAAAACACCTCGCTTTCGTGTAAGGATTTACAAGATGTGAAAATGTGGGTGTACATCCTTCTCCCTTGCTCCTCCCCAAACCCCAGGAGACTGAGGAAACGGCATTTCAATCAACTCCTCTTGTAGATGAGAAAACCAGGGCTCAGCAGCTGCATAAACCCAAGGTCCTGCACCAACAGAGGGCAGAGTTGAGCCTGAGGGTTCTCACCCGAGTCCAGTGTCATTTCCAGCACATCCCCCCAAAACATCACCACTGGACAGTTCTTCAAGTCAGTGGCAAAACCCTCAAGTCCCTCCGCTGCAGAGCGACCATCACCCTGGCACGCGGGCGGGCAGCTGACACTTACCAGCAGGAAGCTGGGCTGCTGCAGGTGGGGGAATGCCATGGCAGCCTCCCGGGCAGGGTCCAGACGGGCCGTCTTAGAGGACCACTGCAGAGAGACAAAGACAAAACCTCAACCTCTGCCACACAAGACACACAAGGCCAGGAGAATATCTGCACAGCTCAGCACCACTGCACTGCCAAGGCCCACACTTTACAGAAATGCTGCTTACGTGCCTGCCGTCCACAGGGTCCAGCCCCGGAGCCAGGTCTGTGGCAGGGAACCCTTGGGAAAACTTGGTTAAGCTTGTGTGGCACTTGCCACATGCCAGGCCTGGTTCTGAGGGTTCTCCATACATTTCTCATTTAATCCTCGGTGGCAGGCAGGCAGGATTCTAAAGACAGCCATCCAAGATTCCTGTCTCTGGTCATTCAAACACTCTTCTAGGTGCTGCTGTGAAGGGGTTTTGCAGATACAGTTAAAGTCTCAAATGTGAGAACCATAAGATACAGGGCAGTCCTGACTCATAGCCAGCAAGGAAATGGGGACCTTAGTTCTACCACTGCAAAGAGCTGGATCCTGCCAGCAACCTGAATAAGCTTGAAAGCAGATTCTTCCCAAGAGCCTCCAGATAAGAGCAAAGCTGGCCAACAGGTCGACCTCAGCTTTGAGAGACCCTAAGCAGAGAACCCAGCTGAGCCTGCATTTCTGACACATAACCATGAGATAACCAACAGATGCAGCTTTAAGCTGCAAAGTTTGTTAAGTAAGAATAGAAAATACATCCTCATAACAACCCTACGAGGTCAGTACAGATAAGGAAATGGAGGCAGAGAGAAAAATCACTTGCCCTCCGCCAGCTTAGAAATGGCAGAGCCAAGACTCAAACCCACAGACCTCCTCACTACTCTCCCATAGAGACAGGTGGACACATCTCCTCTGTCTTACTTGTGCTCTCTGAGAAGGAAGGGAGGGGACGAGCCAGCTTTGCCAATGGAGCCTTTGAACGGCCACCAGAAAATCAGGGGTAGCTCTCCAGAATCCTACCTCTCTGTGCCCCCAATCAGAAACTGAAAATATCCAGACTCGGACTGAGCAGAGAGGGAGTATGCAAGTCCCACTGATGGGCTGCTGACGGCTTTCCTGGCACAGCTCTGCCCATGGCCTGAGGAACGGTGCTGATGCGGCAACTGGCATTGTATATGGATGGAGAGGCTGGGTGGGCAGCTGAGGGGCTGACAGGAAACATGTATCTCTGCCACTGGGCATTATGAACACCTTCCCATGAAACCGAGCAGAAACCTGCACACTCCCCACCCCTGTACAAAGGCCCCTCCATGTCCCCTGCCTCTTGTTTGTAGAAAAGCTGAAGTTTCCCAGGTCTCCCTGAGTCACAAAAGAGCGGGCTCAAGCAGCTAACGATTAGGACAAGAGAGTCACAGAATCTTTCAGTGTCTGATGTACACTCCTGAGTTGTTTTACAGATACTATAACTGCCACCAGAGGGAAAAAGCCAAATGCATGATGACCAGACGGTAGCCATGACATAAGCTGCTCCATCTGTGGCTAGCACGATTCCAAAAACTGGCCTCAAGACAATGAGATTAACGTTATTGCTCATAATAATCTATATCTTTGTGGGCATCAAAATAATTGTAGCTTGCTCTGCCCAATTTTTAGTAAGCAGGCAACTAAAATTGTCAGCAAACGCGGAGCAACTAGGCCCGTGAGCCACAACTACTGAGCCTGATTAGTAAGCAGGCAACTAAAATTGTCAGCAAACGCGGAGCAACTAGGCCCGTGAGCCACAACTACTGAGCCTGAGCGTCTGGAGCTTGTGCTCCACGACAAGAGAGGCTGCGACAGTGAGAGGCCCGCGCACTGCGATGAAGAGTGGCCCCCGCTCGCCACAACTAGAGAAAGCCCACACACAGAAACGAAGACCTAACACAGCCATAAATAAATAAATAAATAAATAAATTTAAAAAAATTAAAATTGTCAGCAAAGAGATGCCACAGACTCACGTCGACATCTTCCACTCTAAGAATACTGCGCGTTATGTGAGCACGAAGAAGTTACAGAAGATGAGCCTTTGCTCCTAATCCCACAGAAATGGAATGATGTCAGACAGTGGGGATCTGTAAGTAGCTCCTTTGCCCCGTTCCTGTTTGCCCATTTCTGTTCGCCTCAAACCTTATAGAAATGAGGTCACCAGGCAACACTTAACCTAACTCCTGACATATGCTCTACTGAATGCACACAATACCTTGCTTAACCTATTGATTCCTTCCCTAGATTAAAAGAAGTAGGAATGAAAAATTACGTAGTTAAAGAATGACTAGCTCTCTACCCCCAGCTTCTCCCTGTGCAATCCGGCAGGAGATCACGCAGGCAAGATAACATCTGAAGAAAGCTCATGAGGAGTCAGCCAGCCCACACCCAATGGAAAATGACGCAGAGCTTGACCTTCTGCCTCGATTCTGAGATTCTTTCCCTTTCTTCCCTTTAAAAACTGTCACGGCTGAGCAGAATCTTTGGAGTGCGTTCTGGGACACCAGTCCACCTTCTACCCGGTTGCTGGCCTTCTGAGTAAAGCAACCTTTCCTTTGTACCAACACTTGTCTCTGGAGTATTGGCTTTTGAGCTGGGAGGAGCCGAGTCTGAGTTCAGTTAACACTGAGACTGTTCAACTCCTAATTAAACTAGCTATGGGTTTCAGTTTTAAGGATGACTTAAATAAAACGCTTCAGTCCTGAACCAAGTGGTCCAGGGAACACTGCACTACTCCCAAACGATCAAAGCGACATAAAACCCTGAACTGTTTGCTAAGGGCAGAGCTTTAGAGATGATGAATTAAATGCTGCTCCTTGCTCAGAGCAAGTTTGCAGAGGTAGCGGCTGAAGGAATGAGCCCGAGGCGCCCAAGCAGGGTGTTTCGGGGAGAGGGCAGCGTCTCCCCGCCGCGCCGCCTGCTCTGTGTGCCCAGCCTCCGCTTCATCCCGCCACCTCCACACCCGCTGCCTTCAGGAGCGGCTTCCGATCCGCTTTCGGGGTCCCTCCCGTGAGCCGCAGCCCCGTCAACGCCAATCTCGCCAGGGCCTCCCTCTGGCCGCGCTGCGAGCGGGGCGTGATCCCGCCTGCCGCTCACTACTGCCCCGTGAAGGGAGCACCGGGACCCCCGTGTCACAGACGCGGAAACTGAGGCTCCGCAAAGACGGCCCACACCTGGGGAGGCGAGTAAGGATCGGGCCGGGGCCGAGACCCACCCCGCTCCCTCCACACCGCTCGCTGAGTCCCAGACTCTCCCTCCTCCACCGCGCGCAGCGAACGTTAACCGCGGGCCCACCGGGGTGGGGCGTGCGAGGTGCGCGGGAAGGCGACGGGAGGGCGCAGTCCGGCCCTCGGCGCCCTGCCGGCCCGGCCCGAGGCCCGGGGCTCGCGTGGGAACAGAGCTGGTTTCGGCGGAAGTTCGGGGTGGCCGCCGGTACGCGAGGCCGGACCGCGCGCGATTCCCACCATTCACCTGAAAGAGCCACAGCGTCTCCGGCTTTAAGGACCGAGGCCGCCATTCAGCGACCCGGCGCCGAAACGTCGTCATCAAGCTGCGCGTGGCGTCACGTTCCCCCAGCCTAGCAGGAAATGTGCCGCCACCTTCTCTGGCTGACACAGTAAAAGGCGCGTGCGCAAAGCGAAGGCCCGCCTCGGAACGCGCGTGCGCAGCGGGGAAATCCGCCGTAAGGAGCGCGCGTGCGCAAACACGTGTAGGTGCGTTAGGGCTTCGAGGCGCGCCCCCTACCGGGGAGTCGGCGCGGAACAGTTACGCTCTGGGCCCGATGGGCATTTATTGAGCGCCCACAGAATGTCCGCGCTGCACTGGGTGCCGCCACCTCGGCTAGCGCGCGGGGAAGCCCCGTCTCCAAGGGCCCGGTCTTACGCAAACCTGCAGCCGCCCGGGTCCGGGTCTGAGCGCCGGATGGCGTGGGCGCTGCGGGGAGAGGGGCGCGCGGCGGGCCGGTAGGGGGCGCGGCGGGGCCGGGCGGAGCGGGGACCGGACCCAGCGGCGTACACCCTCTGCGGTCCGCAGATGGCGGCGCCGGGCGCGGGGCCCGGGCCGGGGCCGCCAGCGGGGCTGGAGGCGGCCCTGCAGAAGCTGGCGCTGCGGCGGAAGAAGGTGCTGAGCGCCGAGGAGATGGAGCTGTTCGAGCTGGCGCAGGCGGCGGGCGGCGCTATGGACCCCGACGTGTTCAAGTGAGCGCCCGGCGGAGGCGGGGTCCCGGGGGAGTCGGGGTCCCCGGGGACGGCCGGACCGGGCGAGTAGGGCTCACTGCCGCAGCGTGTGTTCTCGCCAGGATCCTGGTGGACTTGCTGAAGCTTAACGTGGCGCCCCTCGCAGTCTTCCAGATGCTCAAGTCCATGTGCGCCGGGCAGAGGCTGGCGAGCGAGCCCCAGGACCCCGCGGCGGCGCCCCTGCCCACACCCAGCGTGCCTGAGACCCGAGGTCAGACCCGGGCCTGGGCGGCGGGGAGGGGGACGGGGGCGGAAGGGGAGCAGCGCCTGGCACCGCGCGGGCTTGACCGTGAGTGCAGGCCTTTCTGTTCCTCTTGTCCCAGGACAGGCTGGGCCCATCCAAGGTCTGGCCCCTTGGGCTCCCGTCCCTAGCTTCGACTTTGCTGCCACCTTTGAGGGTGCACTTCCAGATCGGGAGGACACAGGGTGGGAGACCCAGGCAGGCTAGACCTCGTCTGGGACTTTTGCGTGCCCAGTTCCTCCCCACCTCTGCTCTGAACGTTTTTATTCCGCAAACATGGGAACAAGGCAGCTTTGGTTCCTGTCCTCATGGACTGTATAGCCTCTGCGGAAGTCCTCAGGGAGCAGGGCGGGCAGAGGCTTTCCTGCGTGCCCTTGTTGGCACCCCACCCGGCCCAGGTCCTACCCAGAAATCTGGACAGCGAAGCTTCCATCCTTGGGCTGCGAGTGAGCGCTGGAAGCTATGGCTGGCAGGGTACAGAGGCCTGAGGGACCTCCTCAGTCTGGAGGGTCATGGCTGGGGGATGAGCAGGTGCTGGTGACCAGGGTGTCATGATGGAGCTCTAATCCGCTTCGGGTGTTACTTCTGCTCCCCATCCCAGAAACCCTCTGAAATGCAGAACCTCCAGGCTGGTTCCTTAGCCAGAAACATCCTGAGAAGGGCTGACGTTGGGGTGGAGGGCAACTGGGCCCTGTGGGTGGGTGTGCCTGGGCCCTGGGGGCCCGTGACCCGTCCTGAGAGGCCCTGGGCACTGGAGTGCAGGCCGCCTCACTGATGCACGCTGTCTGCTCTCTTTGTGTCTCTCTCTGACCTCCAGCAGCCTCCTTTCTCTCTGCCGAGAACTGTACCCCCCCCGCAAGGCCCTCCTTTTCCTCGGCCCTGCAGCCTGCGGCCTCTCCAGTTCTGCTCCACGGCCTAGCTGCCTCGCACTCGCCTCTTTCTCCGGGGCCCCCCGGTTCCCTCCGGTTCTCTTGCTGCCTGTTCTCTCCTTTTGCAGGTTGCGTTTATTGGTTTATCTCTGGGGGTTGGTATTCTCTCCTGTTTCCGTGGAAACTGCTGTGGCCCCCAGAAAGCCAGAGCAGCTTTGAGCTGCAAGGGCAGGACCCAGTGGGCCATCCCTGCCCCACAGCTTAGGGACTGAGGGCGTGATTTCACAGCTCCGCTCATTAGAGACAAGTGCAGTGCTCACAGGACAAGCCCACACCCTGTCCCCAAAGGCTAACTCTGCTGGTGAGACTTGCGCTCTGTAGAGCTGCCCCCAGCCCAGAGGAGGACACCCAAGGGGCGGGGAAGGGACAGCGTGGTGTGCTGTGGAGAGCAAAGCCTGAGGTGTGACAGGCACCTGGGCCTCTTAGATGCCATCACCCACCTGGACTGGCTGCCGGGAGGATCAGACCATGGGTCCCCTGAACTGCCTGGTTTCTGAGCTGGGGGTGCCTTCCAGGCACTGCCAGGCACAATGTGTTAGAGTGTGAAATCCCATGGGAGCTCTAGCTGCACGCTCCCACGTGCCCCTCCCTGCATCACCCACCTTGCTGTTCCAGCTGTGCCTGGAGCTTGGACAGGGGGCCTGAGGAGCGTGGGGACTAAAGGAGAGAGATCCCCTCACTCGGGAGTTTTGCCACTCCCTCCCTTGCTCAGTGCCAGGCCTGCTCTCAGTGCTGAGGGCACAGTGGGGCTGCAGGGTGAACACGCTGTCTGTCCAGTGGCTAGACATACCGACAGTGACGGGCGTCCAGTCTCGAAGGACAGCACCGGCCTTGCTGGAGTAGCAGGCGTTAAACAAGCTGGGGGCAGGGCCCTTGCACCAGCTGCAGAGTCCTGTGCGCTGCTGCAGCCCCTGGGAGGGGGCTGAGCTGGGGTGTGGGGGGAGGGAGGGAGAGGGTACAGTCAAGGGTGTGTTGGGGTGCGGGGCTGGGAGCACTGCATAGAGGGATGGGAGGTGGGGAGGAAGCCCCGGGCCAGGGACTGGAGAGGCATGGGGCACTGGGCCCCACAGGGTCGTTTCCCCTTGAGTGCTCAGGCCATAGGTCCTGCTGGGCTGGGCGGCCACCAGCCAGGGTACAAGGGCACTGAGGCCCTGGGGAGATGCCCAGTGGAGGTAGAGGGCAGATAAGGGGTCATGCCAGGAGTACACTGAGGCCGAGAGGCAGAGGCCACCAATGAGATAGATCTCTGAGGCTGCATATCAAAGCATCTGTCCACACAGATCTCTGGTCACCTGGTTAATGGCAGGATCTGGGTAGAGAAAATAAGGAGCATTGTCACAGAGTAAGCAATGGGGGACCATGGTGGTCTAGGCTGGTGGTGGGGGTTTGGGAACGTTGGAGCCAGCTGGCCTTAGGTTTCCCTCAGAATCGGAGTGAGGTTGACCCAGACCAAGGGCTGGAGCCCCACTCAAGGGCTTGGCTCTCTGGGTTCCTGTCCCCTGGCCAACCAGGTGCCCTGTGGGGCCTGTCAGGCTCACCATTTCTGTCCTGAGAGCTCAGGGGGGTTAGGCTTGTCTTCATAAGGATGCGGAGTTAGGTTCAGTTGTGTGCTGTTGAAGTTTAGGGAAACCACACATTCTAAAAAGATGTCCCCCCCCAGAAAGCATAAGGTGGAGTCTGGTGTGTGGAGCCATGAGGACGGGTACCCGAGCGTTGGCACCAGAAGGGAATGGACACCTCACGGATAACTTTTATACTGATTACCCGCTAAAATGACATACTGGATGTTTGGGTTAACTGAAACATTTAAGTCAATTTCCTGTTTCTTTTACTTTTTAACATGGCTCTTAAAAAAGCTAAAGACCACGCAGGTGGCTCGCAGCCCGTCTCTGGGGGCAGCGCAGCTGCAGAGCACTGACGCCGAGCTTCTCCCCAATACGGCCATTGGGCCATGTGCCTGGAGGAGTCACAGGCACGTCCATGTGGGGATCACCTCCCCAGAAGTGTGGGCTGAGTTAAGGGTTAAAGCGCACACGTGCAGTCCGTGTCATGCATCGTTCTGTCTGTATCTGTTCCGGAAGCACAGATCAAGCCCCTGCTGTGTGCTCTGCACACCCCTGGCCGCCCGCTCATCCTGGCCACCAGACCCCGCCAGTTGGCCTTGCAGATAGCAGGGCTGTGGTGTATTCTTTCCCTCTCATTTCTCACCCACCCGTCCCCCCACCCCTTCGCACACAACATGCCTTCAGTGTTGGCTCACAGCCTGTCACTGACATTTGGCCTCAGCAGCCATCTGGCCTGTGACTCCATAAGGGGGTGCGCCCACCACCCAGGAGAAAGCGCTCTGGGGCTTTCTATAATTCTCGTTCCCGCCCAGCTCTGCGGCAGAGCTCTCAGGATGGGTGATCAGGGGTCCCAGGGGCCACTCCAAAGGTCAATGACAGAGTGGGTCCTACCAGGTCTGGGTGGTTCCCCAGCTTCAGGGCCCCCGAGTCATGGGTGGCAATGGGCTGGTGAACTTGGGGCATTTGCTTCATTAGGGGGCATCCAACACTGAGTGGCCACAGCTGGTTTCAGGGGTAGGAGGGTAAACCGGACTGTTTTTAACAGACACCCTTATCTGTCTTTGACCCTTAAGAGGGCCCCACAGGAACCAGGCCTGGGAGCATGTCCCCACGACCCCCACCGCAGCTTGTGGTCACCCTTGGCTCAGCCCCAGTCCTCACTGCATTCCATCGGACCCTAATAACCCTGTCAGGAGGGAGCTGGAGCAGGCCTGACGAGCTCCCAGATGCCCCTTGCTGGGTCCACTGGGCTCTGCAAACCTTCTTGACCTCCACAACCGCGTGTAAAATGAGGTCTGAGTGGGTCTCCCCACGAATGCCCAAAGCATGTGATTCCTTTAGGGTTCTAAGAATCACACTGAGCTGGGTAAATGGGCTACTTTCATCCTTAAATAGTTTTCTTTGACACCTTCTATGACCCAGAGTTACATTGGTTTCTTACTTCCAGGGTTTATCGGCCTCGTCAGATTTAAAGATGAACATTACTTGCTCTTTTCTAGTTTCCTCTCATCCTTGAGTGTCCAGAGGGTCCCTGGTCATTACACTGGGGGGGAGAGGAAACTCACACATGTGCAAGCCAAAGCAAAGCTGGCTT